AGACTTATTAGGCAGGTCAACAACAGTTAGTGAGGCTATAGCGGAGAAAGACGGATCTGCGATTCACTTCCAGGGGAGACGACTGCAACGATAGACAGAACACTTCGAGGAACAGTTTTACTGGCCTCCAGCCACCATTGCGTTGCCCACTATCCAGTCAGATCCTCAGTGGAACATTGAGATAGACCCCCCAACACTTGCAGAAGTCGAGAAAGCAGTAGGTAACCTGAAACGAGGAAGGGCGGCAGGAACAGATGAACTAACTCCAGAGGTATACAAGGATGCTGGTAAGGTGCTTTTAGTCAGGTCAACGGAAGTCTTAGCTAGTATATAGGAGTCAAATACGATTCCCTCTGACTGGTCTAAATCACGATTATCTCAGTCTTCAAGAAAGGCAACAAGTCCTCTTGTGATAACTACAAAGGAATCAGCCTCACGAACATCGTGTCCAAAATCCTGGGTTCTATAATTCTTCAACGCCTGCGTGGAACTCGAGAACAGCAAGCCCGAGAAAACCAGGCAGGATTTAGACCCGGCCGCACGTGTGTCGACCAAATATTCACACTGCACCAGGCTCTGAAGCACAGACACGCTTACGGACACCCGATACTAGCTGTATTTCTCGACCTGAAGGCGGAATTCCACTCGGCCGATCGAGAAGTCTTACGCCAATGTCTCTCACTGAAAGGCGTGCCCAGTGAGTACATCACCTTATTGAAGGCTCTCTACTCGAACACTCGTGGGCGTGTTACAGCCTATGGTGAGATGTCCAGGGAGCTATGCTCATCGAGTGGTGTCCGTCAAGGGCGCCCACTGTCTCCATTCTTATTCAATTTTATCATACATATTATTATGGAGGTCTCCCTCTCGTCACCAGGTTACACAGATGTTGACCTAATCACAGGAGAATTTTCCTTAGACCTAGAATATGCAGATGACATAGTCCTGTTAGGTGAAGACGACGACAAGATGCAGAGTCTTCTGAACACTTTGAGAATGTCCATTTGAGAATGTTTGGGATGCGTTTCTAACCACCACCACCACCACCACCACCAAATGCAGATTGTTGCTCCAGGATTGGTCTTCAATGATGCCTCGGCTAACAATAGAGAGTGAAGTGGTTGAGTGTGTTGACCACTTCACCTAACTGGGGAAGTGGGGTCAGCCCTGCACTGGTGGGTCAGTGGCCGATCAAATCTCTGCACGAATACAAAAGGCTCGACCGGCTTTCGCCAACTTACACCACCTATGTCGCAGCCGTGATATCCGATTATATATTAAGCGTGGCGTGAACTGCACAGCAGTCAACTCTCTTCTACTGTATGGTTGTGAAACATGACCATTGAAGGTGGAAGACATGAGAAGACTTCAGGTGTTTGACTACCGTTGCCTTCGTAGTATAGGCCGTATTCCATGGTGCCACCACGTGAGCAATGTAGAAGTCAGGTATAGAGTATTAGGGAGAAGAGGTAAACCAGTTGACGAGGTTATGAACCTTCATCGACTGAGATGGTTGGGACACGTATTACGTATGCCTAGTCACCGATTGCCTCGTCACGCAGTGTTTGCCGAAGTAGGTCCTGGCTGGAAAAAGGCCCGAGCTGGCCAAACTAAAACATGGCACCAATGTATGAAGTATTTGACTGTTGGTTTGAGCTATGTGGGGCGATGCAGACTAGGTGGTTGAAGTCCGCGGAACAAGAGGAACCAGTGGCTGGAGACTCTAAGAGATATGGTTCAGAACCGATGTCAGTGGCGCATATGTACCCCCATACACATTATGCTCATCTTAACACCATACCGATTCTCACCATTTTGTCACTCTTCCTTTCTTTCTTCTCGTACTTTATATTTCTTTTGACTGAATTTCCTTATTTTCATCTTTCACCTCACTACCCTTTCACTTGATGTAGTGATATGAGCTGTGGCAACTCGGACCATTACGCAGTAATGCCATGTTTTAGTCTGGTCACCCCGAGCCGTTTCCAGCCTGAACCTACTTTGGCCAACACTGTGCAACAACGCAGACGGTGGCTAGCCATGAGTAACACATGTCCCAACCATCTCAATCGATCAAGGTTCACAACCATGTCAACTGACATTCCTTTCCTCTCTGGAACTCTACACATGATTTCTGAGTTACTCATCTGGTGACAACACGAAACACTGTCTATGCTACGAAAGTAACGGTGGTCAAACACCTGAAGCCTACTTTGAATGGCCATGCTTCATATCCATTGAGTAGAATAGAGCGGACTCCAGCACAGTACACTCGACCCCTTATAGACAATCGGATATCGTGGTGGCGCTAGGTAACGTAGGTTGACAAAACGTAACCCAGCCTTTTGTGTCCGCGCAGAAATTTCGTCGACCACTGAGCCAGCAAGACTGGTCCGACCTTCCAGGCTATGAGTGAAGTGTTCAACGTGCTCAACCATTTCACTCTCTGTCGTTAGCCAGGGTATCGTTGAAAACCAATTCTGGAGCAATAGTTTGCATTTGGGTGGCCAGAGACGCGTCCTAAACATTCTCAAATTTCCACTCGAGATAATCAGAAAACTCTGCATCTTGTCAGTGTCTTCACCTAACAGGACTGTGTCACTTGAGTATTGTAGGTCAACCGAAAATTCTCCTGTGATTAGGTCAACCCCTGTGTAGTCAGACGATGAGAGGGAGACCTTTAATAAGAACGTCTATGATAAAGTTGAATACAAATGGAGAGTGAGCATTATCGACAGACACCACTCGATGTACACAGCTCACCCGACATCTCACCATAGGCTGTAACACACCCACAGGTGTTTGAGTAAAGAGCCTTTAGTAAGGTGATGCACTGGTCTGATGCTCGTTTCAGTGAAAGACAGAAGGATATTCAAGGAAGGCAATTACTTGAAAACTTTGTAGTTCGTACCAACTGAGGTAACTTGAACACGTGTCACGTATGCTGAGCCACTGCCTACCTGAACCTGCAATGCTAACAGAAGCTGGATAGGATTGGAAGAAGGCTCAAGGTTACCAGACCAAGACGTAGTACTGGTTCATTACGTCTTCGACCACCTGCGTCAGTTGTGTGGGCTGTCTACAGTGTCCTCAATACAGCGGGGGTCGATGGCTGGAAGTTCTCGGTGACGGCTTAAAATATGTCACAATGGAAGACGTCTTCTGAAGCTTGAACATCATAACCAACCTTAATTTTAAAGTTTTTCCTCCTCCCATAAAATATTGTTCACTTTGATGTCACTTGTTCCCATCAACTTGATTTTCGCACGTTGTTGTGAAGTGTGGCAACTTGAACCGATGCACTTCTGTGCGAGGTTCGACGTTGATTTTATCTGCCTGAGTGAAATGAATTTCAACCTTAACATGCCTTTTCAGGTAGCTATTATTATTTAACATCTGTTTACAGCTTTTTTGAAATGGATCACATTTTTTACATGACATGACCTACGTGTTTGGTATGACATACAGCATAGATGGGCTCCTCCTGTGTAGGTATTTCATGCAACTTAGATTGGTTGCAATATGTCAAGGGATAACCAGTATAATCACTGTGGATGATGGTCTCATTTATTACGAGATCATTATAAAACATGTATTCATATGTATCAGCGTAGGACAATATTTGCCATCTTTCATGATCTATCACACCAGTGTTGTACACAATAGGTATGGGTGTTTTACAAAGAAATAGATAATATTTGATAAAAGCATATTAGGGGTTACTTGTTTTCATTTCGGCTCATCAAAAATCTTTTCTAAAGCATGGTAACGAGACGCGTTAACTAGTTTTGGTATGGGACACAAGAATTAAAGATCTTTTAAAATTAAAGGAATTTAGACTGTCACCATTAATTCTTAGTCGGCAGTAGTATTTCATCTTTCTGTGCTATTAGTCTGACAGGAATCTCGACTAATGTTATGTATTGCTCAAGTACCATTTTACGGGATTAGATCAAGAATCTGATATGACACGAGACGATAAATAAACGGCAGACTTAATATCATGCGAAAATCATTTGTTGGCCCATTTTTTACACTAAATATCTTACACTGACTCGGGGCGTTATATAACTAAAGTATGGTTAGAAAGGCAAGGCGATCTTGGAAAAGAGTGAACAGATATTTGGTTGAAAGAGACCCCAAAATAAGCATTTATTGCATTAGTGTTATTTTTAGATTGTGTCGAATCATCTCGGAGAAAGACACTGGTTCTCTCATAAAGTGACCAACAACTAGAATTCTCTACCGGAACAAATGGTAGCAGCTCCTTCAACGAAGACATTTAGGAGTAAACTGTCATAGAGAGATAGAGAGATAGCTATCGCAAGATGTCAGGCTAATGGCCTACTATGCTTTTCACTGATGACTAAGTCCTTACCATTGGGTTCGATTAGCACTCATTTATAACATTTCAAACGGCCGAATAATCTCTATTTTTCAGAATTTAACAGATGCGAACTGAACACCTGTTTTTCATACCAGGGAGATGCAACGTATACCAACTCTATATTCGCTTCTTTCAATCATTCTTAGGACTGGCAAGCAGTGGATAACATAGGAGACGTTGGAATGGCATTTGTAACCCATCCACCTCCGGAGGTGGCGTGTTTTTAGAGGCCCCTCAAAAATACTAGTGTGGTATCTCGCCTATATACCAGGTAAAAGTGATCGGAATTTTCAACTAATGCACGTGATTCACTACCCGAAGTGGGCCCAGAAATAGGCTTCAGCTGATCCTGCAGAAATTCTTAGCACTTCAATGTTAAATATCATTGCAGCGCGGAAGGAAAGAAGGAATACCGTCGTGACAACACGATAAAAATCATATCGGTAGACTTTATATCCACCTAACAGAAAAGTAGCTAAAGGAGTGCGATATAAATACATGGAGGAATATAAAAACCTAATGCATGAATGAATGGGAGATAATGATGTTAAAATATCAATGACTTCCTTAAGGTAATAAGACAAATATTATACTTTCCACGGTCAAAACATACCGCCACAAATCTTATGTGCTTTAGAAAAGCCGTCACAGCCGAAGACATCTTCAAAGATTTCGATTTACTAAAATAATCCACAAGGTTTTCAAGGAAGCTGAGCGTCTCCACTACAGCTTTGTTAACCTCTACATCGATGTAAGTCTCAGTTCTTTTTTCATAAGAAGGAGAACGAAAGATATGTGAAAAGCGAAAAATCCACTCAACCAAAGTGTCTAAAAAAATTATTCTGAGTTCCTGATCTAAGTCAGGAGGACAGTTCTTTAAAGTTGACAGCTGACACACATCCGGGACTAACAAGGAATCTACAAGATGAGCATTAGAAATATGGCTAACCTGTCAGCAGCCTTAGGTAGGCAAAGTCCTTTTTCTTAGAAGCTAGCTGATAAAATAACTGGACGAAACCGCGTAACTGTTTCATAACCAAACCATAACCTTGAACTTTGAATTCCCAGTGTCAAATGTTCCAAAGACTTCAACATAGTCCAACATCCAACAACTTCAAATTTTTGTCGTGGAAAAGGTAGACAATAGTTCCTTCCAGTCCGATATCTTTTAACGAGCTAGTGTAAAAAAATTGATTTCCTCGCACCCGCTTCTAGATCTTGAGGAACGGTTCTAGGTCTTTGGTGGATTCCAATGCAGCAGGTCCACCCACTCGACTGATGTAGCTCTGGTTAGCCCGACGGGCGGTTGGGTGTTGTTTAGACTTGAAGGAATTGTTGTTCGTTTGTTTGCTTTTTCTTCCGAGGACTGTGGTGTAGATGGGTTCCTCAAATGTCATTCCAGCAGACAATTGGCCGGACCGGTTGTAAGATGAAAAATATATGCAGAGAAATCAAGGGAGAGAAAGTGCAGAGAGACACAAAACAGAAAAAGAAAAGGAAAAAAGGAAGAAGAACAATATATATTTTAAAAAGATTGGGAAAAAGCAAACGGCACGGAAGAATAAGCATTGGTAGGTTCATGGGGAATAGGTGATAGGGAGAGCCTTTGTTAAAGTTCGAGAACGTAGGGTCAGAAGTAAGAAGAATAAATAACATTATAGGACGAATGGGAATATAGTAATTCTTTTAGTAGAGGATGGTAACTGGAGGGGACACCTACAGGAAGGTATAAGGTTAAGCCAAGTTCTCAGTAATAGTGGTTTTACTAAGTGTTCATTAGCGGTTAGCGGTACCGAGTTAGTAAGTCGTGTTAGCCTAGTCCACATCCCAGTTGGATAGACACAAACCGTGCGTCACTGCCTAACTGTCAAACCTCTTCTTGAAGCTGTCAATAGACGGAGCAGTAGCATTCTCGGCGGGCAGTGTGTTCCAGTGGCCGCAAACTAGCAGAGAGAAGAAGTGTGATCGCACACGGGTTTTCGCTCTTTGTTGGGCGATCCTCCTTGGGTTGCCGCGATGATTGCCATAGTGGCCGTTCGGTAGAATTCCACTGTTCGGATGACTTGGGTTACTGAGTATTTTGTAAGCCGTTATCAAGTCACCACGTAATCTGCGGTAGCTTAGGGAGTAAAGCCCTAGACCTTTCAGCCTGTCCTGATATGGTTTTCGCCTCATTCCCACGACATCCTTTGCAGCTCACCTTTGGACCTTCTCTCGGAGGTTCACCTCTCTTTTCAGATATGGTGGTGCAATGACGTTGTGTACCTCTAGGTGGGGTCGTATATAGATCTTATGCAGCTTCAAAAAGAGTTCCGGGGTCAGGGAACCCAGTTGTCTGCTCATGAGGTGCAGTACTGCGTGGGCTCTGAAGGCATCTCCTGGATAATTGGGGCTAGTGTCTAGTTTGTCAGTCAGTATTAGTCCTAGATCTTTCTCTGTGGTGGTGTAGAAGGGCTGTGTTCCACAGAGAGAATAGGGTATCTTCTGAGAGTCTGGGGTGCGCAGAAACATGGCTCGGCATTTATCTAAGTTAAATACAAGTCCAATAATGTTCACCCACTCTGCAAGTAATCTGAGATCACTTTGCAGTGCACCTGATTCTGTTTCTGACGTCACGGCCCTCCATAGCTTAACATCATCAACGCAGAGTAGAATTGCGGAGCTGAGATTCAGTGGGAGGTCATTCACAAAAAGAAGGAATGGCAGTGGACCCAGAATAGCCCCTCGTGATACACCAGATGATGTTGTCCTCCAAGTCGGGCAAACTCTGTTGGCTTTTGTGTAGAATTGTCTACCATCTAGATAGTCCTGCAACCATGAAAGCGCTTGTCCCTTGATGCCCAACCTTTCTATTTCGTGAATAAGAACGGTGTGTGGAACTGTGTCGAAGGCCTCAGTAAAATCCATGTAAATAACATGGACAGGAATTTGGAGATCCCAGCATGCCGTCCACTTATCACCTGCCGCCAGAATGTTTGTGGCGCAGGGCCTACCCTTTGTGAAACTATGTTGAGTATCACCAAGTGCTGCCCTTTTCTAAGTACTCCCTGGGATGGTCGCCTACCAGACTCTCAATTACTTCTGACACCACTGGTAGGAGGGCTATGGGTCGGTAGCATTTTGGGTTCTGTCTGTCTTCACCTTTGAAGATGGGGGACAGAATAGCACTTTCCCACTCCTGTGGAAGCATGTGATTGTCTAAGGAGTGCTGAAAAGAGTTACACAGCGGAGAGCACAAGGCGCCCGCGCATTGTTTCAGCACAGCCGTACAGCTGTACGGTCGTACACGCATATTATGAGAGTGTGGCTTATCGTTGAAGTTGTCGTTTGCTTTCATGGGTCAAAGAAACCTGAAAGGACAGTGACAATCAATCAATTAATTAATAAATCGACTTGCAGATTGGTAACATTCACCACCAGATATTGGTAATGCGAGAGTAGAAGACTGATGCTTTTCATCTCTCGCACCTAGTTTTCGGGGATTGGTTCGAGTTGTCGGGTTCACCTACGCAGTGGATGGAAAAATCCCCTCTGCTTTCTCACTATCGGCCTCGGCGAGTTGGATGTTTCGTGGGTTAGTAATTTGTAGTTTGTAGAGTGATTGGGGAGCTCCGGGTTGCTGGACTGTCGTGAATACTGCCTATGCAGGTACCTGAAAGAGAATAGTGAGTTATTCGCAAAAGAATGAAAATAACGAAGGAGAAGAAAATAAGCGAAGTGGAAAAGGGAAATAAAGAGAAAAGGAAGAGCGAGAAAAGGAGGGGGTAAAGAAGAGGGACGAAAGGGGGAGATAGGTATGTGGGGATTGTCCGAATGGTAGAAGTAGATAGCCTGGGTTTAGTTCTTACAGGAGAATCGGTAGGTAATGTGGGTGTATTAAGGAGCGAGATGGTGAGTGGTAGGTAGGAGGGAGGTGGGGTGGGCTGGTGAGGTTGCTGACCCACTGCGTATGTCCGTGGTAGACCGTGTGGGGCGACATAACTGTTCAACCGTCTCTTGAATGAGTCGACTAGGGGCAAAAACATTGTGTCGCGGTAGGGCATTCCGCAAAGCATATACCCTCGGGAGGAAACCGTTGCGTGGTATTTACTCTCTGATGTGCTATTAGGGTTTCCTCGTGATGATGACCGTGTTGCTGGTAAGGTTGATTTGTTTGTGGGGTTCGCCTGATGGGCAGTCTTGTAGGTTGCAACGCGCTCACCCCCCATCTTGTGATAACACGAGATGAATAAGCTTAGGTGTCTAAGTCTTTCAGAACACGCTTATGCCCTTACCCTCACACCTGATTTTGCTGCTGTTCTTTGTATCCTTCTAGGAGCTCGGAGTCTCTCTTGAGTGTTGGAGGCCAGTGTATTGAAGACCTCTAGATGCGGCCGGATATAGGATCTGAAAACTACAGGGAGGGGCTCGGGGTAGGGGCGCCAGGCTGTCTACACAGAAGGTGCAATTGGTCGGTCGCTCTGGTTGCATGTCTTTGTAACTGGAGCTGGCGTTCAAGGTGCCAGAGAAGTTGAGCCTCAAATCTTCCTCTGCGAATGATCTGACGATAGCACGGCCGCTCAACACGTGCTAGAGGTTAGCCGCATTTGCATCATATTTACTGGTGTGCACTCCTTTGCACTTTTCCAGGTTGAAGCTCAAGCCATTTCCCGACGATTAGGGTTCCAGTTGCTGCAGGCCGTTTTATGGTGCTGCGCAGTCGACTTCTTCTTCTACTAACCCCCAAATTTTAGCGTCGTCAGCGAAGAGGGGGGTAGACGAGAATATTTTGTCTGGCAGATCGTTGACGAACAGAAGGAACAGGATTGGTCCTAGGATTGCCTCTTGGCATACTCCTGACGTCGATGGTCTCCACTTCGACCTTGTTCTGTTTGCTTTGGTGCAGAACTGCCCCTCTTCCAGGTACTCCTTGAACACAGAGAGTGAGGGTTCACTTGTACCAGCTGACACGATCTTGCGAAGCATAACTGTGTGTGGGACACCGGCAAATGCTTTGGCTAGGTCGAGGAAAACAACACGTACCGGATCTGTGTTGTCCCAGCTCAGCTTCCGGTCGTCTTAGGTGGTTAGTAAGCTGGTGGCTCATAAGCGACCACTTTGAAATCCATGCTGGGCAGTGTGCTCTGCGTTCTCCCTACTGAGGATTTTCCAGATGGTGTCAGCTACCAGGCTTTTCAAAGCTTGCGAAATGAAAGAGAGGAGAGCAGTTGGCCCGTGGCTGCCATGGCTTTCCTCTGTCTCCTCCCTTGAATATGGGTTACAAGATGACACTCTTCCTTCCTATAGGGAGTTTGCACGACTCTATCTAGTGCTTGAAGAGTCAGCAGATTGGTGTTGCAAGTACTTTGGCGCAGGTGTTGTATATCCAGTGCTGTTGCTCCGATAGATCAAACGGGTGGTTGGATGACGGTTAAATCTATAGGATGGTTGATGATTTGCCTTGGAATCGTGGTGCAGGTGAGATCACCAAGTTTTGTATTGCTAAATTGTTGTTTGACTTGATTGTGAAAGGACGGTAGGAAAGACGAAAAGATAAATAGGAAGAACAAAGGTGGGAAAGTGGGGAAATTGGATGTCAGAAAAGTAAAACGACTGAAGAAGGAATAAGTTTAGAACATTACAGGAAGACGATTAGATAAGGTAGTGGTATGGAAAACCTCAATAAAAATGTTGAAGTTGCAGTGAGTCAGAGGGAGAGAAAGAAGAGGTGAGGATGGCACTAGAGGCATTGGAAATATATATTATGTTAGCAATAGTATGGTACCTGAAGATATCAGGCGTCCTACAAAGAGGGATGAAGTTGACTCGAGTTCGTGGTAAAGGTAGTACTGCAGCAGAATCCTCATGGAAGGAAAGAGGGTTGGGCTGACGAGGTGCCAACTTGCTGTTTCTGAATGCTTATTGTCCCAGCTGGTTGAGCGCAGGCCAAGTAACGCTGCGTAGCTTTCCAAATTTTCCTTGAAGCTATCGACAGGTGGAGCAGTAGAAACTTGAGGCAGCAGTGCCTTCCAGTGATCAGAAACTTGAAGCGGTA